ATGATTTATCAGTTGGAGCAGTGTCACCATAAACTTCGATAAGCATTCGATGGTCTTCAGTTGCACTTTTCTTCCAATTAAAGCAGAAAATTAGAACCTCCCACAAATGCTGCTTGGTTAACATAAAATTCGACATTTCAAACACAATAAAAATCAAGGTTTTTGTATGAAACTCAAAGCGATATAAACTGAATATTATTAGCAGATGTCTAATCTCTCTGAAAACGCCAAAATCAGCTGTCACTATGACATCACCATTTGTGGGGGATTCTTAATACCTCACTAGCGCAGCGAGTGTAGAAAGCTTAAGGATTTTGTAGATAGCTAGTTGCCTAGCAGCGTAAAAATAATAAAATAAAAATTATAACAACAGATCGATTAAGGCGTTCAACCTGTACGGTCATATTAATTTGTGCTCGTATAATAAAGATTATTAGTTACCAGTTACAAGAAAAGTCTCGATCGTTATTTCATATATCACATCACACGATAAGTGTGGGCTTGTCTAGAGAATCTGACTTATCAATTGAATCACATATTCCCACATTGGTGACCCCGACGTGATTCGAAAGCCCGACGTGATTTGAAAGGCCGTTGTGGTACGAAAGGCCGTCATGATACGAATGGCCGACGAGAAAGGCCGATGTGATCGGGAAGAAGAAGCGATTGACCGGTAACTGCCGTTCGAGCAACATCGAAACGAACTTGGTTTCGAACCAAGCAGAAATGCACATTGCCGACGTCGTAGCCGATAAGGAAGCTCGTCGCCAACGTCGTAGCCAACAAGGAAGCTCATCGCCGACGTCGTGGCCGACAAGGAGGCCCATCATCGATATCGTGACCTGTCGCAAGGCCCCATCGCTGAGACCGGGGCCGGTGGAAAATTCTCGCCGTCGGAAGCACGCAGGGACAACAACAGGCGCACAGCGCCGACATGGGAACCACACGGGCCAGCCCAGGAGCCGCCGTTCAGGACACCATCGCCGTCGCCGCCATTGTGACCTGTGAAGGACGACTTCGCCACCATTAGTCGGGCAAGTTGTGTACGCAGTGCGTTAGTTTTTAAGCGCGCGTAATCCGGCAAAACAGAAAAGTAGACCCTCCGCGCTTTTCTTCACAAGGTCATTGCACGAACGTCAATTAACAATTTCTCAATTATTGACAGATTAGCATTGAGCGATCAAACCTTTTATATAGCGCGCGCGTAAGGTTTATTTTTAGGCGCGCGGTTAATATTTAAGACTGTTAGGAAGTACTGATTGTTCGCGAGCTTCGTCACGGTAGACGTATAGTCATGGCTCCTCCCACCAACGAGGAATTGCAGGAGCAAGTGATGCAGTTGCAAGCGATGCTTCGGCAGAAAGGCAATGTGATCGGCAATGTCGCGCGCGTGGATTCATATAGGGTTAAAATTCCGAAAATTCCGCCGTTCTTAATTAAAGATCTGGTGATATGGTTCAAGTCGAGGCCGCTCGAATCACAGAGCAAAAGACTAAGGCGCATCACGTGATTATGTCTTTGGACGCAGAAGCCATCGCGTGCTGCAGAGATTTCATCGCGGATGTGAACGAACCATATACCAAATTAAAACAGCGTATTATTGAAAATTTTTCAGCGTCAGCAAAAAGTCAACTGCGACAACTAATAAAAGGCCAAGTGCTTACGTCAGGGAAACCGTCGCAGATCGAGTTACTTTGTAACTTAAACTCTGACAAACGATGTGACGACGCCGTAATAAAAACTGTGTTCTTTGAACACTTATCACCGCACATTAGAAGCATTCTTGCTACTACCGAAAGCACGGATCTGGACAAGTTAGCCAAAATGGCGGATAAAATAATTGAGACCGTGGGTGATTCTACGCAGTGTGCCGCCGCATCGGCGTCAGAGTCTAAGCTGTCCGACTTAGAAGCTAGGATCGACGGTCTGGCTGCTGATATTGCCACCCTCGCGGCTGAGGTCAAGCGATACAGCAGATCTCAGACGAGAGACAAGGCAAATAAAAATCGTAAGCATTCCAAAAGCAGAAGCTCTCGTGTCTGCTGGCCGCATCTTACTTTCGGGGAACAAGCGCGAGTCCGTAAGGGAACTGAAAAATTCCCGTGCCCTTGGCCAAAGCCCAAGGTTTTAACGGACGGAAAAGCGGGGGAATAGAATCGTCTGTCACCGAGGAGACAGATATGGCGGGCGTCGATTCTTCTGTCCGTCTCCACATCCTCGATCGAGTCACCGGAGAGCTATTCCTTGTAGATACGGGGGCGGAAATTTCGCTGCTTCCCAGCACTTACGCGAAGTGTACCAAAACTCCGACCAATTTCAAACTTTACGCGGCAAATAATACGCGTATAGACACGTATGGGGAGTCGTTCCGAACGCTACATTTAGGGATACGCCCGATCACATGGAATTTCTGCGTAGCATCAGTTCGGTATCCGATTATTGGGGCCGACCTGATTGCACATTACGGTCTCCTTCCGGACCTCAAAGGTCGTAGACTCATCGATTCACAAAATAATGTGTACGTATCGAGCATTGTCAAATCGGTACCACAGCTTGCCATTAACACGGTCAAACACAGTACGAAATTCGCGAGCATCTTATCTGAATTTCCGGAGG